AGGAGGTATAGGAGATATAGGAGGTATAGGAGATATAGGAGATATAGAAGGTATAGGAGATATAGCAGATATTAATTAAGTAGTGCAGATAATCTTTATACAGTGCTTGACTTTGAATAGTGATTCAGTCAGATATATTCATTCAAGTTATCGATCCTTGCTCGAAAAAATCAATCATAAAAAATAAATAACTGTTTACTGTGCCTTCTATATCTCATTCGACTTATCGATCCTTGCTCGAAAAAATCAATCATAAAAAATAAATAACTATTTACTGTGTCTCCTATACCTTCTATATCTAATTCAACTTATCGATCCTTGCTCGGAAAAATCATTTTATAAAAAAAAAAAAATGTTTACTGAGTTTCCAATACGTCCTATATCTCCTATACCTCCTATATCTCCTATACCTCCTATATCTCCTATACCTCCTATACCTCTATACCTTCTATACCTCCTATACCTCTATACCTCCTATACCTCTATACCTCCTATACCTCTTACCCTAGGACATAATCGAGTTTCCGGGGATATTCTTAGAAGACATCATATGGCAGCTGCAGTTGATCTTCTCCAAATTACTCAAAATGTTACACAACCAAATACAAACAATATGGAAGCAACAATCAAACGAAAAAATGATAAGTTCAAGAACAATCTCTTTATTCATGTTACACATGAGGCAAGACTCAAAGGTTTAGCACGAGAAATACATATTATACATGACAACCACTTCAAAAACACCGACTATGGAGAAATTAGATTGATTGTTGGTTTTCGAAATAATCCAAATATTGAATTCGAACTTTCACGTAAACGACCATCGTCATCAGTATTGAAAGATCCATTAAGAAAGAGTAAGATTGAAACTACTTTTCTTTGTATTCTATATCATTTGCTTTCTTTTTTGTTTTTTTTTTGTCTTAGAACGAAAACCAAATGGAATCGACGGTAATGGCATGAATACGTAATGAACACTATATAGACATCAAAATGTTTTTGTTTTCTCATTATTTCTTTTGAAAATATACTACATTACATATTCACTGTTTTTTCCCTTTCACACTTGTGTTATTTTCGAGAAAACAAATCGATATTAGACTTTTTGTTTCATTTCAGATATTTCAAGCTAATCAGTTCAATTCTAATTATTATCAAACTTGAATAAAACTATCAAATCTCAAACATGAAAAACAAATTCAATCAAAATCAACAAAATTGTAAAGGCCAACATTACAAAAAGAAAAATCATCGATTCCATATGAAAAAGAAAAAGGTCTCTAACAAATTCGAATTTCAATCAGCAAATATGAATTCAAGTACACAAATTCAAAACTTCTTGATATCAGATGGTTTAGCAAACAAAAACATATCTTATCCTATGGATATGGAAACCAGTTTTGATCCAACATTTTTATTACCAGATTATTCAAAATTGTCGGATAGCAAATTTACACAAATGTTATTAACATCAACATCGAATATTATGAATCAAGATGACCTTATTGAGTTATTGAATCAGAAAGACATATTCATCTATATTCGTCAACTCACACAACTCATTAATAAATTCAATTATTCTAAACTACAACAAGAACAATGGTCTTACTATTATAATCTTGGCATGACCGATGGTATTTGGAGCGGTCGAATATCGAAAAAAATGGCTGATGCAAATTCAATGTGCTACACATATGGTCGATCGAAAACTTTAATCAAACAACGTCTTGAGAAATATAAATTACAATGTGAAAAAGGTCAACAGGCTATACATGAACATATGGAACAAGCACCACTCATTCTTGACATGGAAACTATTAGTAATCTGATAAACAATTTAATTAATCAAGATCAACATCAATTACGACTTGAACTTGAACGATGAAAAACAATGCTCCGGCTAAATGCTGAAGAACATCGACTTGTTGAAAAGTTTTACGAACTAAAACCAAGACAAACAGAGGTAAACATACAGAAATCTTCTGAACATTTCAAAAACATATTAAAGTTTAGATAAATTCAGCAAAAATTATATGGAAAGCTATCAATGAACAACAAAATATAATACATGAAATTGCTATATTTAAGAAATGGCTTGAAGTTCATGCACAAGAATCATCAAACACTCTTAATGGCATACAATTACCGAATATCTATCATATATTTATAACATTAAGCTTTGAAGGGCAAATATCATCAGTCGAACATATTGCTGAACAGACAATTGCTAAAGCCGAACAAATCGTACAACACTACAGCAAAATAGCAAAGTCTGAAAAAAATTAACTACAATCAACTAAATCTCATCATAAAAATCCTGATTTACTCGAGCAAATAATACATGCCATACTTCAACGTGAAAATAATTTGGAACAACGTCGAACATATGAACTACAAGGAAAAATGACCAACATATTCAAATATAAATGAAATACATACATGGACATCCGACCCAACATGCCACCTCACTGAAGTGTACAAAATTTTTTTTTGTCTCGAAGCTAAACATTGTACCCTACATAAACCTATAAATAAACCATATGAATTATGAAATAAAAATTTACGAATAACTTTCTCGACATATTATGGAATCTCATACTCTTTTTCTTTTTTTGTTTTCGATTTATTTTCCATATATTTTTGATATTAAATTAAAGAATATATATCTTCATTTATCTTAAATGGCTTATCAAATCAACGACACAACTGAAACAAATAACATCTCATCAGTCTCATTTGATGACGAATTAGAAAGAGGAAGTCGTTATTGGACAACTGAATTTCAATATAATGACAATAGTATTAATGAAAATGATTGGTCTTCGTCTGATGATAGTGATAATGATAACAATGACGATGACAAAGAAATAACTTACCATCATAAAGAAACATCAAGTGACAAGAATATTTATTGGAGTGATGGTTCTTATCTGACTTATGATATGCGTTTAGAATCTATCACTCGATTCGAACGTCGACAAGCATGTTATTACCAAGGAAAAATTCAACAAATTCGACAACAATTAAGAGATGAAAATCTTATTTTACGACCTATTTATAAAGATATTGGATATCATGTAGAGTCAAGCAACAATTTTTATAATAAAGTCAATCAATTTATGAAACAAACCAGCAGCTATTCATTAGTTTTTAAAGTCAGTCGTTCATGTCCGACTGCTAGTCAAAATCGTTTAGCTAATATTGTTGAACGAGTCGAAACAACATTGAACAATTTATTACATTCTAAATCTATTACTGAAACACAATATATGGCTATGAAAATCGATCGATCTACAGTACGAATGAACTATTTATATTTCGTATCAGATACACATAAAGTACGTATATTTTTCATATTAATTTTTATCCTACGTTTTATCTTGCCATATAACTATATATAGGAAGGAATTTCAGTTCAACCGATCATCATATGTAATGATGGACCAACTATGGGTATTAGTCGTTATCTTGGTCGTCTTCTTGAATTACTTTTTAATGATGCAACTTATTGTAAAAAATTTCACAAAGCTTATAATGTTATACATGCCATGGAATTCTATCAGAAAAATGGTCATCTTCGACCAACCACCTTATTTGCTTCATTTAATATTAATGATTTATGTTTAAATTTTTCACATCAACAAGTTATGGATGCTTTAGAACATTTCCTTAATTCTTACATCTCATCAGATCATTCAATTCAAGGTATGACAATTACAACAATTCTTCAACTTGTTCGTCTCGTACTACATGAACAATATTTTCTTTACAATTATAAATTATATCGACAAATTGCTGGTTGTGCTTCTGGTTCATTATTAACTATTCCATTAGTCTATATCTATTTATTTTATTGGCAACAAAATTTATTAGAAGATCTTATTAATAAGAATGAACTCTTTTTCAGGTAATCATCCGAAATTTTAATTATTAAATCATATTCTATTTCTCTTCGCCAATATATAGATATCGAGATGAAGCATTTATTACATGGAACAGATCTGAAGATGAACTTCGTACATTACTTACTATGACTAATTCACAATTTTCACAACCTATATGGAATATAACTCATATTGGATCAACTATTCATTTTCGCGATATTCTAATAAGTAACAAAAATGGGCTTCTTCGAACAAGTGTTTATCATGAAGAAACATTTGAACACATTATGTTACTGTCATCATTTCGGGATATTCTTCAACCTACAATCAAACAAGATCCATGGAAATGGTTACGAGCAGCTTTTTTAAAAGCCATCCGATACTGTTCCGATGGCCATATTTTCAATCAAGAATGGGATGAAATCAAATGGCAACTTAATCAACATCAACTACCTGATATTATCTTTAATGAAGCCTATCAAAAAATTCTCGAAGATTTTAGTGCATCCGTTGTGTATCCACCATTCACCAGATCTAATCATGAAATTCTACGTGACCATGTTTTCAACTATGACAGATATCGAAAAGTAAATAAAAAAGAAAGACAAAAACAACAAAACAAACCAAAAAAAAACATACTACAACTTCCTTATATACCACACTTAGATGGGAACACAATAGACAAAATCCAACAACAATTCAATACAAACTTCTATCAACATTTTAAAGATCACCGGACAATGCAACATGTTACCATGACAATTAGTCAAAATCAATCGTTCTTCCACAAAAGTATTGATTATCTAGTGAAGAAACAACCACCAACAAATTATTTAACTTTACCGGAGGAACCCAAAATATACACAAGGTATGCATTCAAACAATAACCAACTTCTCATTAAACATATTATTTTCTATTTAATAGACCATCAACAGACAAAAATCCCCTTCAGGAAATAATCAATCAAATGCTACAAAAGAAATGAAATTTGTAACTATATCCTTATACACTGTTATTTTCATATATTTAATAAATCCCCATTATTGCATAATAATTCCTTTTTGAAACAAACTACTAAATTCATATCTAATTTTTCCGATTACAAAAACAAATTAAAAACATTGTGAGTGTATCTACTTGAAATTAATTTTCTTGTAGATATTTTCAGGTATCATGTTTTGATTCAAATTCTTTTTGGATCGATTTTAACTGGTACTGAGGCCACTTGATAAAGATTTTGAGATTAGAACATCAGAAATAACTTA